ACCAGCCTTCCAACATACCGGACCTCTTTTCTGAAGAGCACACACTTGGTTGGCCTGAGCTTTACACTGTGGTATTGGAGGGCCTTCAGCACCCATCGCAGTGACTCAACGTGATCTCCAAATGTTTTATTGTAACAGAGGACGATGTCCAAGTATGGGATGCAACATTCGTCTTGCAGGGAGTCCAGCATTTCCTTCATGCTACTTTGGAAAGCAGCTGGAGCGTTTGAAAGCCCAAAGGGGATGCGCACCCACTCATACAAGCCCCATGGAGTGATACAGGCTGTCATATGGCGTGACCCCTCTGCAATGAAGCCTTGATGATAAGCTTTCCCTGATCCAAAATCGAGAACAGGTTGTACCCACCCAGCGTGTCAATGAGATCTTGAATACGGGAGAGTGGGTGTCTATCTGGGACTGTCTTTTGGTTCAGGAGCCTGTAATCAATACATAGCCGCAAGCTTCCATCTTTCTTGCGGACACAAACCATTGGGGCAGAGTATGGAGATTTGGACTTTAAAATCCCCCTTATGAAAGAAAAATATATGTACCAATATATTGTTTGAAATATATTGTAATACATTGTAATATATTATTTTCCCAATACATTTTCTAATATAATATATATTTTAGATACACTGAATATTATATTTAGGACACATATATTATACAATATATTATATATTCATGCAATATATTGCAATATATTGCAAAATATACAACTGATTGCCACTTTCTATATATTGCAATATATTATGCATGAATATATAATATGTGTTTATATATTGCAAAATATATTCAATTTTATATTTATAAATACCCTCCAATATGTATTTTCGTTTATATGGGAAAATGTATTTGTAATATATGTAAATATATAGTATCACATATATGAATAATATATAATAGAATATATTTTAAATATATGTACATTTATATTGAACATATATGTTTAATATATGGTAGAATATATTATAAATATATGTACATTTATATGGAAACATATATGTTAAATATATGGTAGAATATATAAATATATGTATATATATGTTTAATATATGGCAGAATATATTTTAAATATATGTACATTTATATGGAAACATATGTCAATGTCACGTTTATTTATATAGCACATTTATAGGACAGGCCAGACAAAGTGCTTTACAGGAGAAAAAAAACATAAAATAATAAAAGCTACAAGTATGGCAACATTAAAAGGGAAACATACAATAACAACAATAAAAGAAAAGCGTACGCGAGTAAAAGCAGGTGACAACTCAACCAAAAGCTAGGGTAAACAGGTAGGTTTTAAGGTGCGTTTTGAAGGAGGTGAGGCTGGTTGCAGAACGCACAGACTGAGGCAGGGCATTCCACAGTGTGGGAGCAGCAACTGCGAATGCCCGATCCCCTCTGCTTTTAAGCTGGGTTCTCGGCACATCGAAGACCATCCGGTCAGCAGACCTCAGGGATCTGGCGGGTCAGTGCGCCTTGACAAGGTCAGATAAATATTCTGGGGCCAGCCCGTGCAAAGACTTAAAAGCAAAATAAAAGAATCTTAAAATCAATCCTGAACTTGACTGGGAGCCAGTGAAGTGAGGAGAGCACCGGTGAGATGTGCTCCTGTTTCTTGGCTCCGGTCAGGAGACGAGCAGCAGCATTTTGTACAAGCTGTAGGCGGTTAATTTCAGTTTGGCTGATGCCAAAATACAGCGAGTTACAGTAGTCAAGGCGAGACGAGATAAAAGCATGGATAACCTTTTCCAGATCTGGCCTCCTAAGATAAGGCTTGATTTTTGCCAGTAGCCGAAGCTGAAGAAAACTAGCCTTCACGACGGAGCTGATCTGCTTGTCCACCTTAAGAGCCCCATCAACAATAACACCTAGGTTTCTGGCCTGGGAACCTATATAGGGTACTAAGGGGCCGAGGGAGCTGGCAAGGACCTGGACGGTGTCAGGGTTGCCAAAGAGGACAATCTCAGTTTTGTTTTCGTTCAATTTTAAAAAGTTCAGGTCCATCCATGTTTTAATATCCCTCATACAGTTGAACACAGCCTGAAGGGATTCCTTGGAGGGGGCTCTTAGCGGCAGGTACACCTGCACATCATCAGCAAAGCAATGGAAGTGGATGTCGTGCTTCCTAAATATTGACCCCAGGGGTAGCATGTAAAGGGAGAACAGCAGAGGGCCTAGAACTGACCCCTGAGGGACTCCACAGGTTAGAGGGGCCACTGAGGAGGAGTACTGCCCCAATTGTACACTGAAGGATCTGTCAGCAAGGTAGGATTTAAACCATTCTAGAGCGGGGCTTTTAATGCCTACAGTGTGCTCAAGGCGTGATAAGAGGATGGAGTGGTTCACCGTATCAAATGCTGCTGTAAGGTCCAGAAGCATTAAGAAGGCACAATCACCCAAGTCAAGATTTAAAAGAAGATCGTTAAAAACTTTTAAAAGAGCAGTTTCAGTGCTATGAAGAGGCTTGAAACCTGACTGGAACCGCTCACCAATATTGGCTTGATCAAAAAAATGTTGTATTTGGCCAAGAACAACTTTTTTTAAAACCTTGGAAATAAACGGGAGCTTAGAAATTGGCCTAAAGTTAGAAAGTGACAGGGGATCCAGGGTTTTCTTTTTTAGTAGAGGCTGCACTGTGGCATGTTTAAAAGAGGATGGGACGCATCCAGAACTAAGAGACAGATTTATAAGAAACAAGGTAAAAGACCCAACTGAGCTAAAAACCTCTTTAAGCAGGCGGGAAGGGATGCTTTCAGATGGGCAGGTGGCAGGGCGCAAGTGCTCTACTATCTCAGCCAGTGCAGGAAAAGAAACAGGCTCAAACTGGTGGAAAACAGCTGAGCTTGCTGCAGAAGCTGAGGGGTCCAGAGCAGGCTGAGGGGAGTGGAGATCTCAGAGCAGACATCTTATTGACAAAAAATTCCAAAAACTCCTCGCACAGAGAAGCAGATGGTTCCACAGAGACAGCATCACAGGGGTTCACAAGTGAATCAAAGACATTGAAAAGAACCTGAGGTTTATGAGCATTTTTGGAGACAAGAGTGGAGAAATATTCCGCTTTTGCAGCTTTAACGGCCTGCTGATAATTAACGAGACAATCCCGAAGGAGGTCCCGAGAAATCTGGAGACTGTCTTTCTTCCACTTTCTCTCCACCTGTCGACATGCGCGTCTGAGCGCACGAGTGGACTCATTTAGCCATGGCTCGATCTGTGGCTTAACATGCTTCAAAGTCATCGGCGCAATGGAGTCTAAGATCTCAGTGCAAGGAAAATCAAACTTTTTCATACAGGCATCCACACTGGGATCGCCAAAGTCACCAGGAGAATACAAGTCTTTCCAGGCAGCAGCAAACTGCAGGTGAGTCGAAGAGTTAAAAGCGCGGAGGCAGCGAGCCGGCGCGGACTCCGTGGTGCGGGGTGCAGTCAGTGGGAGGGAGAATAAAATAGGTAGATGGACGGACAGAGGTGTGTGGCAGATTTCGGTTATTTGAACATTCAGACCATAAGACAGTACAAGATCCAGAGTATGGCCCTTCTCATGCGTCAGCTCGCTAACAGACTGCGTGAGATTAAGAGAATCTATGAGATTCAGAAAGTCTGGTCTCACAGCAGACGTGCACGTCAAAATCACCAACAACTAAGAAGTGATCATACTCCAGTATAATACCCGACACGAAGTTTGCAAAGTCCCATATGAAGTCTTTGTTAAATGCTGGTGGTTGATAGACCACAGCAAAGAGAACAGTCGCAGGGATTTTTACCTGGAAGAGTTGGAGCTCAAAGCTGGAGCTGTTGACAGCTGGAGACTGCTGGACGTGAAAGGTGGACTACCGATGCCAGTCCTCCATGTCTTTCCGGAGCCAGGTTTCGGTCAAGAACATAAAATCCAGTTTGCGTGAGGTAAAGAAGTCATTGAGTAGAAATGTCTTGTTGGTGACCGATCTCACATTCAGCAAAGCCAGGTGGAGATCAACAGTGTCCGAAGGTGAGGCACGCCTCAGCATGCGGAGGTTCCGACGGTCCACACCACGTCTCCCGGTCCGAACACGCCAGCAGCTAGCAGGTAGCAACAGCTGATCGGAGTCCGCCGAGCAGGAGCTGCAGCTAGCATCCGGGAGCACCGGCCGGATCCATCGGGCCCCAATCCTCCTCGATCGCAGGGCGGGAAGATAGTCCAGAAAGCGCAGACCAATGCCACAGTTGAACACACAAACAGACCTTAGGTGAGCCTCCAGCCTGACCCTGTAGCCACCGCGTTTACCCCGTCTTTTCCGGTGTCTCCGCCAGGCAAGATGGGGTGGAGGACGCCTCAGAAACGCAGGGATTCCCTCGAGGCATGGAGAAAAGTTCACCAATGGATCTTTACTGGAGAAACCTCCAATCTCAAGCAGAGTATGTCGGTCATAGGTGAGGAGAGACGACACCTCATGACAGAGAAGGTAGAATGCAAAACACACAGCAAACACAGAGCAGAGCGACAGACGGCCAGCCGAACACCATGGCGCCATCTTTTCATAATGAACAGTAAAATCATATATGTTAAATATATGGTAGAATATATTATAAATATATGTATATATATATGTTTAATATATGGCAGAATATATTTTAAATATATGTACATTTATATGAAAACATATGTTTAATATATGGTAGAATATATCTTAAATATATTTAAAATTATATGGAAAGATATACATGAAATATACATGCAGATATATGTGCAATACATGGTATAATATATTTCAAATAGATTCTACCATGTATTCCACATGTATCTGTACAAATATTTTTCCATATAATTCTACATATATTTAAAATATACTCTACCATATATTCGAACATGTATGTATACATATGAGAGCTTTAGACTTAAACTTTAATAAATAAAAAAACTGCATGAGCAATTAAGTCAAAACCTTTATAACACACATCAACACAGACTATTCGGTAATCTATCAATACCAACTTTATTTCTCTTAATAAGGCCCAGATATTAAAGCCTGAGGATTTGAGGTAGAGAGCTACAGGCCTATTAAAATCACAAGGAAATGTCATTGCCTATACTTTTCTTAACAGTGCAATTCTTTATCAGTGCATCATTTAACAGTACAACATTCTTTTAAAGAGTGCCATTGAACAGAAAATATTCATAATATAGATTAAAAGTTAAAACAATTGAACAAAGTCTATTTAAAACTTTCAGCAGTGCTGTTAAAATAAATAACATTTCCATAAACAAATGCATAAATAATAAATAAATCAATGCAAGATACAAAAAAGTAAATTGTTGAATGAAACTAAAATAAATTAATAGTAACAAAAGATGTAGCTTAAATTGGCACTTACAAAGAACAATGTCTATTTTTAAACCTTTCAAGATGATCAGAACCATGGAAATGCAAAGAAACAATTTGCCAAAAGAACAGTCCATTATCTAGGTTAACAGTCCATCTTCGTGGTTTAACGTGGTGCGGAACAAAATATTCTTTTGATGAAAGTGACTTATCTTATAGGACTTCACACCATCACGCTTTTGCGCTTCACCTGGTGTCTTAGTTCGCAGATTCTACTGTTAATGAATTTTCTGATATCAGCTTCCTTGGCTGCTGGAAACTGGTTTACAACAGCATCTGTGGAACAGAACAACAATGATTACTCTCCCCCTCTCTGACCTCGGTCTTCCCTCACCCCTGCTCCAACCCCCCTCTCTGGTAGGGATGCAATCAAAATGGGAAAGCACCAGCTCTGAGTTTCCTCGGGTCCAGAGCCTGCCGACGCTCAGCATGGGATCCAACTTGCTGACTCCTCCTTTTAGGTTGGACTTGAGCAGGACATCCACATCAAAGAGCCCTATCAGTAGCACCTGTGCCATCCCATTGGCGCTGGTACAAGCTTTTGCAGTCTCCCAACAATGTATCGAGATAGTGACGGTTCCATCATTCCCGATTTTTACCTTATGTTAAAAAATAAAGTAAAGAAAAAATAAACAAGCATAAGCAAATATGACACAAGGAAAAACACCACAAGCATCAGAATACCAGTAATGCTGTAAGTTTAAATATTTGTTTGAAATGTACCAATTAATGTAAAGTATGCTTACTTGTGAAGGTGTGCAAGGTGTGCAAGGTGACATTTCACCTGGGCCGTCACTCTCAGCATCAGGGTCATCAACATCTTTGGTGGGGCAGCTGTGGACATCTTTGTTGTTGGTGGTGTTGATAGAAACAAGCTTTCTCATCTCCACCAACAAAGTTGGAATCTCTGAGAAGAAAAGTGCTACAAGATTATACAGACAGCAACCATAGAGGCCAATATGTGACTGAAAACCACATCTAAAGTAAAGTATATAAACCTATTTAGAACTGAACTTGTCCAAGCCAAGAAGCAACAAATCAATCGACTTATTAAAATAAGCACATCGGAACAAGATCAAGTGATAAGACTGGCACTGACCTCCATGGATTTACAGTATATCATGCTTGTTTGCACATGGCAAATTAGACAGTAACAATGGTGTTTTCTTACTAATCACATGGATCAAATTGCAACCTCGTTTTCCTGCTAATAGCTGTGTAAATGAGTGTAAAATAAAACATGCTCTGAAAAGGAATGTGGGCCACCTATCTGACCACATACAAATGCCCTCTAGATATAGAAAGCATCTTTAGAACCAGCCTCACATTTAAGTGGATCAATACCGTTTGATATACAGTAATACGTGATACTTGCCTTTCACTGCCATGTTTCGCAGTTTGGTGTTTTCTCTCTGTAAGGCCTTTATCTGGCTCTGCAGGTCTCTGGTAAGGTCGTCGCTTTCCTGGCTTGATGATTCTGCTGGACCAGGGATGAACTGGCCGTCCTCTGACAGTAGCTCCTCCTCCGCCTGTCTTTGCGCTGCACCTTTGGCCTTTTTCTATGGGGCAAAGATGTTCATTTTTACTATTTAATCATGGATAATCTAATACACAAATGATGACTGATGTAATCAATCTCTGCTGTTTAATTACCAGTTTTGGATTTCCAGAGCCAGAGTCTTTGTCCCCAGTACTGGTATCTTCATCACCAAAGTTCAGGCACTTTGGTTTTCTCGCCCTCTTGTCCGGCAGGCTATCTGAATGGAGTTCCCGCTCAGCAGCTTTGAGTGTAGCCTCTTTTTCTACATTCATGATTAGAAAGATTTTCTCAATGAAAAAATAAAATTAAAATAATCAACACTATTACAATGAATGAGAAATATAGAGTAAAAAATGCATACTTCCTATTTGTATACAATTTTTGAAAAGGTAGTGCCATGAATTATTGTTTTGCTGACGTCCGTGTGCTGTGATTGGCTGGCTCTGTGGGACAATGGTTCTGCACATGCGCCAGTCGCGCTAAGCATTCTGGTCGATGTAGTCCTATTGTCGCACCGCTCAATGGAGAATCAAAAACAAGTAGTAGCCAGCTAATGTTATAACATACATGTAGAAAATGGACCGAATCCGATTGAAAAGGAAATATTTTACCGGGTTCTGATTAGACGGATATCCCAAGAAGAACAAGACGATTATGGAAAAAAAGGTTAGTCTTGTTTGCTTGAACATGATAATGTCAACATCATAATGCTATTGCTAACCAGGCTATCTGTTGCTGATAAATGCTATCTTGTAGTCTTCGACAAGCATTTAATTTTTGCATTTATTGATTTTATCATGTAGCCCAAGCATTTTCTATTTCATTGGTTCTCAAAGTGGGGTCCGGGGACCCCCAGGGGTACTTTAGGGAGTTCCAGGGGGTCCCCAGCTAAATGACAGTTGGAACCAAATGGACACCATGTCAAACTAGGGGTCCCTGATATTAAAATTGTTCAGAATCACTGCTAGAGCTGTAAAATTCTTCTTTTATATGAGGGTCTCTGGCATATCTTTTAAAATAGGGGCTAAAGTGTGAATTTGGGGGTCCTCGACATGAAATAGTTTGAGAACCACTGTTCTATTTCATATACTATGTCAGCGGTTTTCAACCCTTTTCATATCAAGGTCCATTATTTATGTAGCTATAGTTGGATAAGATTTTGCCCACAATTCCACGCTGTATAAATGTGGTACCTTAGGAGAGATAGGCAAACATTGAACAAAATATAATATATATATATAAATATTGTCTAATTGAGTAGACCTCCTGATAAATTAAGTGATGTAGACGTTTATAACTCTTAATAGTAAAATGACACCAAATGGAACCATGAGGGTGTCATATTACACTTTAGCTAAAGGTCTTTAAGGGTCCATTTGGTTACCAACTCTCCATCATTTAGCTGGGGACCACCTGGAACCCCCTCAAGGACCACTGCATGAGAACTACTGGTTTAGATTCATGTATTTTCTCAGAGGGGGAACCACATTTAAATCCTTCTGTGTTTCCAAATAAATATGAATTAAGTACAAAAGGACACCGAATGTAAACAACCCACAGTAATTTCTTGGGTTTACATCTTTTTAGTAGACCTTGTATCTGAGCTGCATTTACTGTCTTGTGCTTCTCCTATGCAAACTGCTTAAGTATTCAATCAATCAATCAATCAATCAATATTTTCTATCACTTGTACCCAGGAAAGCAATGAGAGAGACCAGGACTGATAAGCAAAACCAGGATCTGGTAAGTCATGAACTTCAAATGTGAGACTAAACCTTACTTAAACTATTGTATTGCCAGATGCATCTCCTGCAACTGAGGTCTTCTCATATGTGTAACCTACGAGTACATTTTGGGCATTGATATTCAGATTTTGGTCAAATTTGTTGCAGTCATTACATTGAAACTATTCTCTCTTTTGTTACGCCAAGAGCCCATGCCAGCTCTAATGCCTGGACCCCCTCAATGAACCATCTTCAGAAAGACTATCAGGAACTGCAGAAGAGACTGTAAATGTAAGTTTCAGCTGCTGGAAAACTTTAAATAGCAGATGCTGTTGATGGGCTATTTTGGGTGGTAGACTGTGTACATGTGTTAATTTTTGTTCTTTTTTCCCCCCTCTATTTTTTTTATTCTTGTAGGTAACATATGATTCTGAAGTTGAACCTTGGGTTCCTCTCAGTGGACAACAAAGTTTGTCAGGAGCAGAAAACTCTGTAAGTTTCAGCTGTGAGGTGGTGTTTAAGCAGTGATTCTTTAGCAATGCTTTCAATAATCTAGTCTGTAGCACTAACATTATAGAGAAATATTAACAAATTAGCTTTTTGCTGGTATCAGCCGGCCAGCTCAAGTTTTGTTGAGCATTTTGTAAATTGTAATTGTGTGTTTATAGTACTTGGTGTAGCAGCAGAATAGGTTTAGTTGTAAAGTAGGATGTGTGTGGGGTTTGTCACTGTTCAGATCTTTTTGTTTATTACAAAATTATATTATTATATATTATAATTATATATAATATTGTTTAATTTGGTGGCCAGCAATAGGTTAGGGATAGTCATGGTAACGCAAGTGGTGTGTTCCCGGGTGCTAAAACAACACCTGTATCTCCCTGCCAACTGACCTCATACTTCTAATTTTGTGGTGTTGAGTATCTCTTTAATTAAGTTTGGAGGGAAGTCAACTGGTTGGATGAGCATCTCCCACATGTTACATCCTATTGGTGGCGACTGTTGGTGGATGATGACTATGCATGTAACAAAGGTTAATCAACACTTTGTATTTTTTTTCCCCCTTTAACACAGAACCTGAATGAAAATTCCTCTCACAGCGACTCTGACAATGGCTTTGAAGATGCACATGATAACAGCCACATTAAAGTAAGTATACCATACAGAAGTAGTTCTCAAACATCTTGTTCTCAGTTCCCCCTTGTAAATAACTTCTTCAGCCATAAAGGCTCATTCACACTGGGCACGATAAAAATAACATTAGCGTTCACATCAATTACACAACGATATCGCGGAATAATTGATGTGAACGGCTGCGATAAGTGTATCGTGCCCATTGTGAATGAGCCTTAACACCCTGAAGTACATTGTTACTTTATAGTAAGATACAGTTCATGCCTTGAGAGAATACATGGATCTATTATAGGACAGATTGATTTTTTTAAATTATTTTTTTCATTTTTACTTGGCGTATTAATGGGTTTTTATTTTGTAATCTGTTTCTCTAGGTAACCGATGATTCAGAACCTGAACCATGGACTCCACTCAGTGGACAACAAAGTGCATCAGGAGGAGCTGAAGTCTGTGTAAGTTTCAACTGTCTCCATGTTTTCCATCTCCTCGCCAACATAGCATCTGCTCTGTTTATGTCTTTGATTGTAATGTTCCCATTACATTGACCTGGCTCTGTACAGACCTCTAAGTCTGCACTCCTTGTCACATTCACCATCCCATGGGGCTAGGAGCACTGAGTTACAGTACTGTGTGTGTGTGTGTGTGTGTGTGTGTGTGTGTGTGTGTGTGTGTGTGTGTGTGTGTGGGCCTATGTGGTATAGCCAGACTTTTGACCTGAATACATACCAGCGCTCCGCGGACCTTTGGGATTAGCCGGACTATGCCAAGGTCCGCGTAATTCGGAAAGTGTATCTGCATTAGTCAGTATCTAACTAACATCTAACTAACTAACTATCTAACTATCTAACTAACATATCCACATTGACAACCCCAGTTGCAGTCTAGCCCGTGAATTTCTGGACATCCTACAATGCTTCAGCTTCACCCAACACTGCCATTTCCCCACCCATAACCATAGCCACATCCTGGACCTTATCTGTTCAACCGGCCTGGAAACACCCCCCCCCTCCTGCCACGATCTCCATATCTCTGATCACTTACTTATCAAAACAGTTATAACCCTCCCCGACCCACCCACCAGACTCAAACGAATCATCAACTTCCGGAACCTCAAATCAATCAGCCCATCTGCCCTCACCGCCGCTCTCTCTCTCAACCTCACCACATCACCCCCACAAGCGTCCGATAACCCCTCTGATCTTGTCACCTACTACAACCAGACCCTCTCCTCCTGTCTGAACCTACTTGCCCCTGTAAAAAGCAAATCCGTCACATTCGCCCGCTCTGCTCCTTGGTACACCCCAGCACTCCACCAGCTGAAACAACAAAAAAAAACGCCAACTTGAAAGACTCTACAGGAAAACCGGACTCACAATTCACCTCCAGCTCTATAGAGATCACCTCCATCAGTACAAAGCCACCCTCAACTCCGCCCGCTCAGCATACTACTCCAACATCATTCACTCTGGCTCCAGCAACCCCAGGACCCTGTTCTCCACCATCAACTCACTTCTGGCACCACATGACAACAGCACTTCAACCTTCACACCAGACAAATGCCAGACTTTCCTCCAGTTCTTCCAGTCCAAAATAGACAACATCTACAACAGCCTCCAGTCCGCAACTTCCGCCCCCACACCCCACCCCAAGTCCCCCCCCTTGTGCTCCCCCCACACCTCTGCTCAGCCCCTAACCCAGTTTTCCCCCATCTCTCATGCCCAACTCTCCCAGTTAATAACTAGTATGAAGACTCCCACCTGCACCCTGGACCCCATGCCCTCCGCACTCGTTAAGACCTGCCTTCCAGTCCTTTCTCCACTAATCCTCTCCATAGTCAACTCCTCCCTCCACACCGGATCAGTCCCCGACTCCCTCAAACTGGCTGCTATCACCCCAACCCTCAAAAAACCCGGACTCGACCCTGACATAATTTCTAACTTCCGCCCAATTTCCAACCTTCCTCTGCTTTCTAAAATATTAGAACGTGCCGTCGCCTCTCAGCTTCAGACCCACCTCAACTCCAACAGCCTCTTTGAAGTCTTCCAATCCGGTTTCCGTCCCAAACATAGCACAGAAACAGCCCTCCTCAAGATTTGCAATGACCTCCTCCTCAGCGCTGACTCCGGCCACATTAGCATCCTGATTCTCCTGGACCTCACCGCTGCTTTTGACACCATCCACCACTCCATCCTCCTTTCCCATCTTCATGACTCAATCTACATAACTGGCACTGCCCTCTCCTGGTTTAAGTCATACCTCACAAACCGCCAACAATTCATTAACATAAACAGCAACTCCTCCACCACTGCTCCCCTGACCCAAGGTGTCCCCCAAGGTTCGGTGCTTGGCCCCCTCCTGTTCATTATTTACATCCTCCCTCTTGGACATATCATCCGTCGTCATGGCCTCCAATTTCACTGTGACGCTGACGATGTCCAACTTTACATTTCCACTGAATCCATCACCCCATCCACCTTCTCCACCCTCTCAACCTGCCTCTCCGAAATAAAGACCTGGATGACCAACAACTACCTTCTACTGAACTGTGACAAATCCGACATGATAATCATTGGCCCCAAATCCATCACCCAATCCATCCCCCCCTTCTCCATCACAGCTGATAACTCACCCCTGTCTCCTTCCTCCTCCATCCGCAACCTTGGACTCATCTTTGATACCCACCTCACTTTCGAACAACACATCAAACAGGTCACTAAATCAGCCTTTTTTCACCTCAAAAACATTGCCCGTATTCGCCCATCTCTCTCCCTCCCCGCAGCAGAAACCCTGGTCCACGCCTTCATCACCTCAAGGTTAGATTACTGCAACAGCCTCCTGTACGGTCTACCCTCTAAACTCCTCAACAAATTACAGATAGTCCAGAATTCTGCCGCCCGCCTCCTTACCCACACCCGTTCACGAGATCACATCACCCCCATCCTCCTCCGTCTACACTGGCTCCCCATCAAGCAACGCATCATGTTCAGGATCCTCCTTCTCACCCACAAAGCCCTTCATCATCAAGCCCCTTCTTATCTCACCGACCTACTCCAGCCTCATGTACCCCCCCGTAACCTCCGTTCCTCCTCTGCCCATCTTCTCACCCCACTGTCACGGCCCAAGCACCGAACTTGGGGGGATCGGGCATTCTCCTCAGCTGCCCCTACCCTTTGGAACTCCCTACCTCCCTCCATCAGACACTGCCCTGACCCCACCACTTTTAAATCCCTTTTAAAAACCCACTTATTTAAAATTGCTTTTAATATTTAACTGTTTTGTCCATCTTACTGTTTTCATGTCTTTGTCTTATTATCTTGAATTTTACGTACTATGTAAAGCGTCTTTGAGTGTTTTTAAAAGCGCTGTACAAATAAAATGAATTATTATTATTATTATTATTAACATATTTTCCAATTTTCTCTGATGGTCCTTATATACCACTTGACCTGATTTCCAGTGTATCCCAGTGTATCAACATGCGCATCCTGTAGGCTGGGATGGAACTGCAGGATCTTACACATTTTTTGATACACACGGTGCAGTTTTGGCGGGCTGGCTTGTGATTGGCTGGTGGAGATATGTGGGCGGGACTTATATGACATCGGGTCTAAGCTCCGCCCACACCCGCGGTGACCCAAGAGAACAGCAGCACATGATCCACAGCGTGGATTAAGAGATATATTGGGATAGTTTCTTCATGAAGGTAAGCATTTATTTGTGTTTCATTGTCATATTTTCTGTTTAGGGACACTTATGGAGAGACAGCCTGTTTTATTGAAGTGGAAAACTTTGTCATGGAGCCACAGTGACTTTGCTAGCTTAGCTTCTAGAGGTACTTAGCTGCTTCTCAACTAAAGGAGACAGCAGGTGGAGAGAAATGTATTCGCAATGACTTTGCCCTGATTTTATAAGTTTGTATGATATATTGTTTGTTGCAGCTGATAGTTTTCTTGACTTGGTGAGCTAACAATCTAAACAACATGTGGCTGTGGCTGCTTGTTCAGCCTCGTTAAAGGCATGCACACTAGCAGGCCCTGCCTTATTAAGTAGCTGTGATAATTTAATATGTTAGCTGTGACTCTGTGCTTGTTTTACTCCATGAGTTTGTGCATGCATGCTCTATGAGAGGACTGAATCTGTAAATGCTTAACTAGCTTTAAATCTCCTACTGTTGTGATCAGGCCTTTATTTATTGTGCAGAGAACTTATCTATGTTATGTCTAGATTAAAAGAGTATGATTTAGTGTGGTAAGTGTTCAAGTGTGGGTGCAGAAATGAATAATAAATATCTTCTGTGGCAACCAGCAGGCCAAAGTCTGCTGGATGACTCTGATATAAATTTATCTGTTGGATCATTTCACATAGAGGAGATAGACTTAGCATTGAATCTGTTATTATTTATGAGTGGCAAGTCAAGATGGATATTTGGCTGGTACATCCTTAAATGTGTGTTTCTGGCTAAAATGTTGTCTCAATTCATTTTATCAGAGTAATTTCCGTAGAATATAATAAATTTGTCTGATGTCAGAGGAACACCACCACTGATTTCTTTCATTGTCATGTTTGCATGACATGGGCTTGGTGATTCATTTTTTAATGACCTTAAACACTTAAACAAATAGTAATAATAATAATAAAAAACAAAGTGACTGATATATCGTACAACAAAGATTCACATAATGCTTTATCCAACCAAATATAAGTGTACAATTAATTAGAATTTTAATTCAAGTGGCTATGAACATGCTTAGACTGAACAAGAAAAAATGAAATAGAATTATACAAAGAACAGAGATTTATTAGATTAAATGTATATTCAATCTTAGAAAAAAACAGGGCCACGAGTGAACATTTTTCCTTTTTTCCTGTCTGCTTTTTTTTCGGTTGGCAAGCCAGGCTATGAATTTTAAGTGACGACATAAAGTCAGAGAAATATTCACATGTTCTCATACTGATTTAGTGGTGCCCTATTAGAAACTGCCTATTTTTAAGCAGTGGTTGGCAGGATAAAGGTAAGTCTGAATTTGTTTAGGCACACCTGAAGAGTATCACTTGTTAAACTAACTGTGCGGTAATAAAAGAAGACTGGAGGGCTATACTGCTTCTTTTTTAGAGGTAGGGTATTAAATTAAATTCTAATATGTTTAAAAGTATTTACAAGTTGCACTGAGAAGCTCGTCTTTTGTCCATATTTTGCCCCACATTGCCACTCCTTTCAACTTACAGCTAGTTCTGTTCTTGATTTTCACTAAACTGAGCTCTATAATTCTCAAAATGATCTTTGTTACTTCAGGATCTACATGCCAGTAAGACATGCACAGGAAAAGACGAGTCAGTCCAAAGACAGAGGCAAAATTGTATGTTTCCACTAAAAGGGACAAAGCGGGACTTGATGTCAAATACATCAACAGTTTTAAAGGTGAGTTGAATCCTCCGAAAGTCTAATCATTCTATAACTTTCTTTAAATTCTCTCTCATTTGTATTTCTTATGTGACCCAGTTCGGGGTATCTTCACTTCTGCTCCTTTTGAAAAAGGAGATTTTC